CTAATCAACTTCACAATGCTCTCTGTCCAATAGCAAAGCTAGCATATCCCAGGACCACGGTCTGAGGGGATTCGTGGGAGGCTGAATCTATGTGCAGACCCTGGCAATGGACTTTGGGCTTCTACTGTCATCCATAGCTGTTAGATTTCATTCACAATTCTTGGACCTGACAGGGGGAGTGCTTGCTTGTGGACTTAGTTGACTCCTCGCTTAGATGGTTGCCTGTTTTAAGACAAGTCTTAGGAATGTAGATGCTATTTTTTCTGATAGCCAGGCACCATCTGGTGTCTTCTCCACAGTTTGCTATGACACCCAGGTCTTCAGCAATCTCTTCATGAGGACTCCACGCTCTTCATGAGGATGGAGTAGAGCCATGCCATAAGAACTAATTATTCTCAGATTGAGGCTAGGATTCAGTTCAAACCCCAAATCCATACATATAGCCATGGTTTATATATGGCTCTGGCTTACTTTAGAGACATTATTATTTTATGATAGAGAACATTATCAATAATCCCCCCTGGGGCATAAGGTGATTCTATTGATAGTGTCATTAATTTAGCCAATGGTATGGCATTTAAAACACTGTTGAGAAAAAGGAAATTATACGTGTCTAGGTTGACTTTTCAGACAGCAATACTGGAATTCCTGCCTTTTACAGATTAAACATTTAAGTGACTGGACACTAGTTACACAAACAATGTGGTTAGTGGTAGGGAAAAACTATCAGTAACGCTCATTCACAGAGGCTGAACCATGGCTACCAGACCAATACATACATGTCATAAGAGAGCAAAAAAAGCATTAAAATACTAAATATAGTCCACCTCATTTCTGACTCTCCTTGGAGTCAGTTTTCTCTTGTTTTTTCATTTCTTCTTCTCAAGCCTTGATCTCATCCAAGTATCTGCATTCTCTTACTCCTTGAGTGTCAGTCAACAAACATATTGAACCCTCAGTCTGTGCAGACCCTGGGCAAGCCATGGAAATGAGGAAAGTACCCTTCAGACTGGGGCAGGGCAGTCCAGCAAACACATGTTTATAGTGCTGGCCAGGGGAGAGAGTGAAGGGAGAAACTATGGACCCGCCATGAACTGAGATGGCTAAGCCAGTGGGGCAATGGGCAGTAAGGTAGTTTATTGTGCCAGCCTGGCCGATAAACACATGTGGGGTTAATTGAAGGGAGGAGAGATAAATAGCTCAGTGAGCCTCGCCTTTCGAGTTCTCGGGTCTCTTGCTTTGTGATGGTCGCACCAGGGTGTAGCTGCCTTAGCCAGTTCCCTGCTTCAGCTGGCAAGGCTCACTTCCTACAAGACATCCCTGAGCAGAGGCCACATGAACCTACCCCAATGCAGCCTTGGGTGCTGGAGCAGCCGTGTGGAGACCCCTGCCAGCATTGAGATGCTTACATGTTCACTGATTTGGCTTTCCTCCTGCAGTCGGCATCATTGTGTCTGTTTTGTGAGATGGAGGAGGACTTTGTAGATTGGTGTCGGACCTATGGGTTAATGTTGGACTTGTGGGCTTGGGCAGCACTGGGTTGGGATGTTTTCTTGATGTGCACTTACCCTTTATATAAAACCCTCTCTTATACATGAGTTTTGGTGGATTTGTTCCTCTAAAGTCCCCAGACTAACACAGGCAGTCACAAAATCCTTTCCGGAAGTGTCTAGGAAGTGCCTAAAAGGTGAGGGCGGTTAGCAGAGAGGAGAGAGAGAATGGTACTTTAGCAAAGAGATCAGCACGTGCAAATGCCTGGAGCCATGAGAGAGCCCGACAAGCCCTTTGGCTGAGTCAAGTGGCAGCACTCAGGATGGAAACATGGACAAGGGCCAAGTCAGGAGCTAGAGAGATATTAGGAAGCAAGGAACATTTTAAACACATCAGATTCTAATATTTTAAAATAGACATCCCTTATTTTCAGTGTGAACTACCATTCACTGTCATCTTTCCCAGAAACTTGACATTCGGAGCCTCATGTTTCAGGGCAGAATAAAGACCCTGTCACTGGAATTTCAGGCATTTGCCTTGGACATTGACTCACAGAGAAGCTGCTGGCTTTGCTGCCTCCAAGTTTGGCTGTTTGGGGAACTTACTCCCCACCTGTTCAACACACTGTTTTTGTAACAGCGGGAGGGTCCAGGAAACCAGCAGAGTTTGACTCAACCATGCCCACTAGGAGTACCAGAGACCACCGTTTGCCTTCCCACAAGTAGCTTTTGCAGATACTTAAGGGAAGAAGAGCATCAAACCTTGGGCAACAGTGCAATTTGGGGGCCGAGGACCCAGTCACCCATACTGTCCTCTTCCTTCACGTGGTAGATAAATGACTTGCCTAAAGTGCGTTTACAACATTGCAACTTCTTGGCCTCTGTCCACCATCACCTACTGATGTTCCTCCTGTCTCTGGCTCCTCGAGGGTGTCTACCTACATGGAAGATAAGAGTTGGGGGGTCCTCCGGGCTTATTTCTAGGCTCACAATCCTCTTTCCCCACCCACGCTCTCCTTGAGCAACCCCGGCTTCTTTCCAGCCCTGACCACTCACTCCCCTGCAGTGTCCCAACTCCAAAACTCTACCACAGACACCTGGGAATCAGCCTGTATCCTGCCCTCTCCCTCATAAGCCCAGTCATCACCAAGTCTTGTCACTGATGCCACCAAAGGGGTGACAGACCAGGAGTCCCTAGGGGGCGCGGTTAAGTGCGTGACTGCTAGCCGAATGACGGATGGTGCAAGGCCATCCCGAAGTGCCTCTGAAGACAGGCGGCAGCCTTAAGCCCCCACAGAAGAGTCCTGCTCCATAGACGGGAGGTTGTCACGAGTTAGCATCAGCGTGGCTGCGACAAGAAACTCTCTTCATTGTCATTACCTCTCACATCGCTCTGCCCATATCTCCAGGGCCTTTGACTTTTCTGTGGATGCCAGCCCTCTTACAGCTGCCACCCCCTAAATCCTTTTGTCTAGGAGCCCTTTCCCCATTTTTCTTTGCCCCCCACCCCCATGGATAGCAGGTGGGGATTGCAAAGAAATGAATGAAACAACAACAAAGAAATGAATGTCCATTCCTCAGGAGTAGATCCAAGTCTCATTGACAGGGAATTGATGGATTAAAACAGCTCTGTGGCCATCAAGTTCCAGACAAGGAGGTATCTGCTGAACCACCTGCAGGATTTGAGGAACATATCGCTTCCTGGTTGAGCTCAAGCTTCCTCCTCTCCTTCCTCCTGGCAGAGGCTGGGCGCCGTACTCTCTGGGGAGGCAGTCCTCTTACTACCTCTTACTACCATGAGAACCAAAGAGGAGCATTAAGCAGAAAGACACTAGAAGGCCACTTGAGTCTGATGGCATCTTGGGACTTTGCACCAGTGCTGGACTTTCGTAAGGTGTGAGGACAAACTCCTATTTGGTGAAGCCAGCCTGTCAAGGCGCTACCATGTGCAGTAAAAAACATCCTCAAGTGATAGCAGTGTGGTCCACAGTCCTATTCTCACCATCCTATCCTTTATTCTCATGTGTATGTAGGGACTATACATGTTGAACGAATGTTCAGTTTCACCCCAACCTCCTAAAATAGATGCAGAAGCTGAAGCCAAGATATATTTAGTAACTTATTCAGAATTACAGTCTAATTAAAAAACTTACATTCTTTTCTTAAAACTCCACTTCTCCTTATCCTTAGATATTAAGAAAGGGTAGAAAGATAATGAATAGTTAAATACTAAATTGTTATTTAGATGGTTGGTGTATTAGTCTAGTTACTTTGGAGAAACAAATCCACAGCGACTCATGTATAAGAGAGAGTTTTATGTAAAGAAAAGGTGCATCACGAAAACATCCCAACCCAATGCTGCCCAAGCCCACAAGTCCAACATTAACCCATTAACCCAACACCTGTCCACAAAGTCCTCCACCTCACAAAACAGAGGCAATGATGCCGACTGCAGGAGGAAAGCTGAGTCCGTGAACGTGTAAGCATCTCAGCACTGGCAAGGGTCTCCACACGGCTGCTCCAGCACCCAGGGCTGCATCGGGATAGATCCATGCGGCTTCTCCTTGGGGATGCCTTGGAGGAAGTCAATCTTGCAAGCTGAAGCAGGGAACTGCTAAGGCAGCTGCACCCGATGCAACCATCACAAAACAAGAGACCCGAGAACTAGAAAGGCGAGGCTTCACCACCCATTTATCCCTCCGCCTTTCAACCAGCCCCACATGTGATTATCGGCCAGGCTGGCACAATTAACTAACTCAGTTGGTTATTAATAATACTTCTGAGCATTTTCCCATAGTTGATCTCATTTGTCACTTCACTCCTGAAGCAGGCAGTATTACCTCCATTCTGTATAGTGAGGACCTGAGGCTAAGAGGGTTAAGTAATTTGTGCACGATCATACAGCCTGTTGGTGTCAGCCAGCATTAAATCCCAAGGTTTCCTAACCTCACACTGTCATTCCTACTTCACTCATCAAAGGTGACAGTAAGCCATTTGCTGTCAAGCCAACTCCAGCCCATTGCAACCGAATGTGTCAGAGTAGAACTATATACCATAGGGTTTTCAGTGGTTGATTTTTCCCAAAATATATCACCAGGTCTTTTTTTTCCAAGGTGGCCTTGAGTGTGTTTGGGTCTCCAATAATTCAGGTAGCTGCCAATCACTTACCCGTTGGCTCCACCCAAGAACTTCAGTGAAGATGATAGACAAAATAATTCTCACTGAACCCCTACCTTGATGAAGTAATCATACAGAAAGCTGTCAGTAAGAAAACATTGGCTCCATCTACATTCCCAGAGAGAAGGATGCGTGTCATGATTCAGCTGTTTTAGCGTATGTAGACTGTTCTCCACGATCATTCAGTAACCCCATCACTGTGATCTGGCTACATGAAACTGGCTCAGCTACCAACAGTCTCATTGTAGTGAAGGAGATAAGATTTCCTTGATCCAATGGCACTGGAGATGGTACAAGCCCAAGAGTGGTCGTCGGGATAAGGTGGGCACATACCTGGTGTTGGCTGCTCCATGGCCAGGCCTTCTGTCCGCTCCCTGGCGAGATCCCGCAGGCACTGGTCTCGTTCTGCCCACAGCACCTGGAGCACATCACACAGTCTGGGATGGCTTCCAACCTGCAAGTCCAAAGCCGAGAATGCTCATCATTTCCACTTACTCCGTTTTACCACAGGAGAACTTCCAATAAGCAATCACGGTGCTACTCACAGGGGATTCAAAGTGAGGAAAGCAAAGCATTTGTCTGCAAGGGCCTCGTCATCTGCAGGGAGGTGTAGACAGTCCTTACTCGGAGAAATTCAGAAAATAATAGGAACTCTGGGATGTTTAAACCAGCTTGTCTAATGCAACATTTGCCTCAGTGTATCAAGGCTCCTGAGTCCAGGGAACTTTTCGCTTTCTAGACATCTTACTATCAGTCTGTGAGACTTAATTTATCCCACTCCAACTTTTCCAAGCCAACACCTGAGCCTTTGAAAGCTCAGTATTGATTCAGAGAAGTTCTTGGAAACCTACACTTAGCCTTCTCTCGGCCCCTCAGAAGAGAACAGATATCTAACATCAGTGAACAACAGATTCCAGAGAGGAGGAACTGGCAACAGCCCCACCTTTCAACTCTTCCTGGAGTAGATTTGCACAGTGTGGATCCATTATTCTATTTGTGCCCGAGCCAAATATGTACCGATATGTGGATTGGATAAATAAATGAATGAACAACTAAATAGCTCAATAAATTGAACTCCTAATGCCCTTTTTATAGGAATTTTTATTTTAATCCTCACTCATCTGTCAATTTGTCATTCTGTGGTGGCGCATGTGAAGTATTTCACATTCCAATAGGGTCACCATGATGGACAGGTTTCAGTCGAGCGTTCAGATGAAAACGGATGAGGACAAAGGAATAGGCAGTCTGCTCCTGGAAGATGAGCCACTGAAAACCTTGTGAACAGCAGCACAGGAACGTAAACTGGAGTACCAGAAGATGAGCCTATCCAGTTGGAAGGCCCTCAAAAAATTATGGATGAAGAGCTGTTGCTTCTAAGTAGAGTCAAGCTCCGTCTGCACTCCAGTGTTCATCTCTGCACAGTTCACAATCGCAAGGAGCTGGAAACAACCCAAAATTCCATCAACGGACAAATGGATGGACAAACTGTGGTACATACATACAATGGAGTACTCTGCATCCCTAAAAAGCAGTGATGACATCCTGGCCCACCAAGCCCCGAGGACCATATTCCTGCTGAGACCACCCAATGCACAGAGAGGACCATAGGGCTGGCCCCACCAGGAGACAAGACATCCCTCACTGACCCATAGCGCTACGAGGCGCAACACTGGAGGCACAGCAGGAATTGTGCCTGATCTGACCCCACCACACTGGGGTGAAACGCTAAGGGTGTGCAACAGAGAAGCAAGGGGATCCCTGGGAAAAACCAAAAATAGACTTTGGGGCCAGGATATGGCACCCCACCAGACTCGACAAGAAAACACACTTAAAGGTCAACAAACAAACGTGGAACTATTTATAGGCTTTTCTTTTTGGCTTTGGTTTTTGTTGTTTTGTTGTTGTTATTTTGTTTTGTTAGTGTCTTGTTTTTGCGTTTATTAGTGTCTCTGAATGTCTATCTATATAAGATAGGCAGTATAAACGATCTGGAAGAGAAAACAATAGGATTGACAGTTCCGGGGGACATAGGAGAGGGAGGCGGGGAAAGAAAGTGGGTGTTAACAAACCCAGGGACAAGGGAGCAACGAGTGATCTAAAATTGATGGCAAGGAGGGCATAGGATGCCTGGTAGGGCTTGATCAAGGGCAATGTAACCGAAAGGAATTACTGAAACCTGAATGAAGAACCAACATAATAGTGGGACAAGAGGAAAGTAAAAGGAAGTAGAGGAAACAACTTGGAGGCAAAGGGCATGTATAGAGGTCTAAATACAGGCATGCATATTCGTAAATATATTTTTATATAACGATAGGGAAATAGATCTATGTACATATATTGATATGTTAAGTATCAAGGCAGCAGATGGACCTTGGGCCTCTACTCAAGTACTCCCTCAACAAAGAACACTTTGTTCTAATAACCTGGCATTCTGTGATGCTCACGTTCCCAAAACAAACACTGAAGACAAAATGGATACATAGCAAATGTGGTGAAGAGAGCTGATGGTGCCCGGCTATCAAAAGATATGGAATCTGGGGTCTTAAAGGCTTGAAGATAAACAAGCGGACATCTAGCTGAGAAGCAACAAAGTCCATATGGAAGAAGCACACCAGCCTGTGTGATCATGAGGTATCGAAGCAATATTGAAAGAGTCTTGGGACAACCTATTGAACACTGTAGGAAGCACCAAAAGAAGATGGGAGCAATACACAGAGCCACTGTACCAAACAGAATTGGTAGATAGACAATCACTTCATAAAAGGTAGCACATGATGCAGAATTGTTGAGATATCAGGAAGAGACAAACCAATCAGGGTGCAGTGTGGCACCGTTGAAACATACAACTGTTCTTTAGTTCTTTCATGCTTCCTCCCCCCCACCATCATGACCCCAACTCTACCTTACAAATCTGGCTAGACCAGAGCATGTACACTGGTACAGATAAGAACTGGAAACACAGGGAATCCAGGACATATAAACTCAATAATGAGAGTAGCAATACCAGGTGGGGAGGGGAAAGGGGGGGGAATAAAGGGAGAACCTATCACAATGATATACATATAACCCCCTCCCAGGAGGACACACAACAGAAAAGTGGGTGAAGGGGGACAGTGGTTGGTGTAAGACATAAAAAATATATTAATTTAAATTATAAGGGTTCATGAGGGAGGGAGGGTGGGGCAGAGGGAAAGATGAGCTGATACTAAGGGGTCAAGTAGAAAGAACATGTTTTGGAAATGACGATGGCAGCATATGTACAAATGTGCTTGACACAATGGAAGGGAGGTATGGATTGTGGTAAGAGCTGTACGATACCCCCAAAAAACTGATTTTAAAAAGTAAAGTCCAGCTCAATGATATCAATGGATGAAAGCTTTCAAGATACTCATTTGCTGACGGGGTACTATGCAAAAGGAGAAAAAACAACTGCAAGCACCCATTAGTCATTCGAATGTGGAATGTATGAAGCAATAATCTAGAAAAATCAGAAATCATAAAAAAATATATATGAAATGAAACCTATAAGATGGATACCCTGGGCTAGTGAGCTGAAATGAACAGCATTTAGTCATCTTTAATTGTACAGTCATATGGTTCATTATGTCAAGGATGGCAAGATTAAGAATGGCATCCTTAAAAAGCACATTTCAAGAACTGTCTTGAAGTACAATGCTGTAGGTGATAGGATGCTCTCTATATGCCTACCAAGCAGGCAAGTTAATACAGCTGTTCATCAACTTTACTCATGAGTTACTGAAGTAAGTGAAGAATAAATTGAAGAATTTTACCACTTTTTCAGTTTGAAGTAGAGCAAGCATGCTCTCAGGATAACTACTGGGGACGGGACAGCAAATATTGGAAACAAAGAACAAGGGTCAGTAAAGGGGAAATTTGGTCTTAGTGATAGAAATGAAACTGGAGATTGCATGGTAGATATTTGCAAGATCAACAACTTCTTAATGGCAAATACATTTTTCAACAACATACACGGCAACTATACATGTGGACCTCCCCAGATGGAATACTTGGGAATCAAATGGATGATATCTATGGAAAGAGATGACGGAAAAGCTCAGAATTATCATCCAAAGCAAGGCCAGGGCCTGACTGTGGAACAGACTGTAACTTCCTCATATGCAAGTTCATGTTGAAACAGACTCACTGGAACAAAACCATGACCCTGAGTATACCCCACCTGAGTATACCCCACCTGGGTATACTCCACCTGAGTATACCCCACCTGAGTATACCCCACCTGAGTGTACCCCACCTGAGTGTACCCCACCTGAGTACACTCCACCTGAGTGTACCCCACCTGAGTGTACCCCACCTGAGTGTACCCCACCTGAGTATACCCCACCTGAATTTAGAATGCATCTCAAGAACAGGTTGAGGAGCCTCTGAAGCTTGCTCCTTAACACAGAATTAAAATGAGATGTGCAAACACTTGGAGTTAGAAAACTAAAAGATAAGAACACGCTCAGCATACCTCAAGCTGAACAAATTCAAACCTTGAGTTGCAATATAGAAAGAGTTTATAGGCAACATATTGAACACTGTAGGAAACATCAAAAGAAGATGGAAGCAAGACAGAGCCACTGTCCCAAAAAGAATGGGTAGATAGTCAACCATTGCAAGAGGTAGCACACGGTTCAGAATCGATGACATTTAAGGAAGAAGTCTAAGCTGCAATCAAGGCTTTAGGGAACAAGAAAGCCCTGGGACCGACAGAATACTCACTGAAATATGTCAATCAACTGATGCGGCGCCGAAAGCATTGCCAAGTCAAGACCGAGAAATGTAGCGACTGGAAGAAGTCCCTAGTTGTGCCCATTTGAAAGGAAGGTGACCCAACAGAATGCAGAAGTTATCAACTAACATCAGTATCCCATGCAAGCAAACTTTAAATGAATATAATTCAAAGACGGGTTGCAGCAAGACATCAACAGGAAGTCGCCAGAAATTCAAACCAGATCCGGAAGAGGAGGTGGGATGAGGGATATCATTGCTGATGTCAGTTGAATCTTGGCAGAAAGCAGAGAATACAAGAGAGAAGTTTGCTTGTGTTTTCCTGACTATGGAAAGGCATTCGACTGTATGGATCATAACAAACTATTGATAGCCTTGAGAAGAATGGAAATTGCAGAACATTTCATTCTGCTAACATAGAACTTGCAGACAAGTGTCTCCTAAAGTGGGTGATACCACCCCCCACCCCCCTTGGGGAGGCACTGGAACAATCTAGGAGTGCTACAAAAGCAAATACCTACATTTCATCCTGGATTATGGGCTTTAGGACAAAATTTTTTCATTGCCAGGGGCCGTTGAGTAATTTTTTTCTGAAAAGGAGGCAAATGGTCAAATAAGTTTGGGACTCTATCCTGCAGACCAAGAAGCCATCGTCACAACAGATGGAAATCGTGCATAAATTAAAATCTCCAAAAAATGCCC